CCCACCACACCCCAGTTATTGCTCCTCACCTTGCACCCTCAGCCTACAGCCATTGCAGCAAAGCACAGGTTGGAGTGGCTAGAGGAGAGGTGTGTGAGATGCATGTTTTTTTTTCCCAATTGTCCATTACAGGAATCCTTGTTTCCTGCTCGGGTTGTCTACGACCTCCTCTTCTTCTTCATTGTCATTATCATTGTCCTCAACCTCATCTTTGGGGTCATTATTGACACCTTTGCTGACCTGAGGAGCGAGAAGCAAAAGAAGGAAGAGATACTGAAGACCACTTGTTTCATATGTGGTGAGTGCTGGGACCCTGGCTCAGCGTGCCTGCAGGAACTGCCCCCGTGTGGTTCCTCTCTTTTAAGGCTGACCTGTGGCATGAGGGAAGGAAAGGAGTTTCCGCTGCTTTGGGTTTTCATTTGGTTCACAGCAAAACTTAAATCTCTTCACTGATGGTGGCTGCAGAGTGAGGAGGCTTAAACAAGGACACAAACCGAGAGGGGAAATTATTCCTCCTCGCCTCCTGTTAATGAGGTGTTAAACTAAATGCCACGTTGCGGTGTTCTCGTCGCTGTGATCCCTCCTGGGACCAACACTTATCAAGTGGGGGAAAAAAAATGCACCATATTACTAAGGAAATGAAGTACAGGAAAATGTTCCAGAATGCTTTCAGTCATAGGAAAGCATCCATAAAAGCCAATCCAAGCTTAAATATAACTTTTTCTTTTTTTTATTTTTTTTCCTATTGGATCCACTGGGTGCATTTTGTTCTTTCAGATATACAGGCAGGAAGCATAGCTAGTAGTACTTTAAATAGAAGCCTCCTGAATACACGACTGGGTTATTTTCCCCCTGCTTTCGATGCTTGTTATGTGCTAAATGCCAACTAATTATTAAAAGCACTTCTTGAAAGTCACACCTGGGACAGGAGGCAATTATCTGTACTTCCTTTCAGCATTTGTTTGCTTGCTCACTTCTTACCTTCTCGTCTCCCCTCCACCTTCTCTGTGCTTGACTGCCTTTCCCAGGACTCGAACGGGACAAGTTCGACAACAAGACAGTGTCCTTTGAGGAGCATATTAAATATGAGCACAACATGTGGAACTACTTGTACTTCATAGTGCTGGTGCGAGTGAAGAACAAGACAGACTACACCGGGCCTGAGAGCTACGTGGCGCAGATGATAAAGGTACGCGTCCTCTCAGAGCAGCTACCCCGGGGAGATATTTGGGAACAGTGGGCTTGCCAAAGAAAAACAGTTTTGAGAAGGAACTTTTGCAAAATATTTAAGAATGTTGTTGCTCCTTGGGTTTCTTAGGTGGTTAATTCCACTTGGCAATCTCAGCCAACAGCGCATTGTCTATTTGATGTTTTGTACTGTGTATTTAAGGATTGAACCAAGGGCAGAACCAGGCAGTACAGAGTGTGACTTCAAGGTTATTTCAAGGCAAAAGGGAGGGTGAGGAAACTTAGAAAAGAAAAACCTCTGAACTTGAATCCAGATGGCTGTATGAAAAAAGGTGCAAATGGACCAGTGCTGGAAAATTTGCAAGGATACATACAAAATGAGCCTCGGGGATTTTTTTTAGTCCCCGAGCATAGGCAGGCTTCCTGTTAAGTTCCACCTGGTCTCTTCCAGAACAAGAACCTTGACTGGTTCCCTCGGATGCGAGCCATGTCGCTGGTCAGCAACGAAGGGGAAGGAGAACAGAACGAGATCCGCAACCTTCAAGACAAACTCAATTCCACGATGAAGCTGGTGTCCCATCTCACCTCCCAGCTGAACGAGCTGAAGGAACAGGTACTGAACGCTTATAAAAACAGGAACACCTGAGTGTAAAACCCCCCTGTCCTTACCAAAATAGACAGCGAGGCAGAACAGGAGGCAGCATAGGCAAGAACAGAAGGCAGAACCAGCCCCATCCAGTACAACTCTGGATACAAAGCAAAGGGCTCGTGTTCCTGACCCCCAAAACAGAGCTACGCTTGGGTCATGTGCTTTTTGATACTTCCTCACCAAACTCACAGGGTGTTCTGACAGATGCTTAAAGCAGCCTAGTCAGTCACAGACCTGAGAAGCATGCTAACGAACAGAAAAAAAAATCTGGTTTCCTACCTCATTTTTGTCCTTGTTTGAACTCTAGATGACAGAGCAAAGGAAGCGCAGACAAAGGATGGGGTTTGTGGATGTCCAGAATACCATGAACCACTAAGACAGAAAAAGCATCAGCTTCACCCACTGAGGGACTGAACGTATCTATCAGCTGCCGAGGCTGCTTATTCCTGGGTCCTGCGCACGGACATCACTGTCAGAGAAAGCCGGGCCATGCGGAGGGGCTTCCAAGTCAACATTTTCCTTAGATCGCTTGTAAGCAATTCAGGAAGCAATGACTGGCGAGGATTCCTCAATACCTGGACCCACATGTTACTCCAATGCCCTTATAGGAAGATAAATTATACAAGACTTTTATTCCTCATTGCAATAACTCTTTTATTTTGCAAACGTGGGGGGTTGTATCTTTATCTCCATGTGCTACGTGTGGGTGGCCTCCACCTCAGGTGTAGTGTAACTAGCGGTAGGGCTGCAATATTTAACGCATTCCAGGAGCGTCACTAGTAAAACGTGGAACTTTGCAAACCAGCCATCATCTCTGCTGTACCTGTTCCATGCCGATTCCTCTCCATTTAGAGTTCTGTTCATCACGGTGGTGCAGTAAAGAGGCGCTAAACTCAAGGATATGGATTTGAGCATTTAACTCACCAGATGAGGATGAGTACCTGCGCTAGTACTACGTGGACTGGTCTTTTGTCTTGTGTGGACAAAGAATATCTGGGCAGTAGTAGGAGACTGCAGGTTTCCAGGAGTTCACTGTGAAGGGGTGTCCTGTGGTTTAGTTTCATCTCTGGTGTAATGTTTTACTTTTTTGTTTGTTTGTTGTTGTTGTTACTTAAGAACTAAAGTGTAAATTGCCTTAAGTAAATTAAAAACAAAAATCAAGTTATAATAAAAACTTAAACATGGTAAAAAAAACTCCCTTCCTGTACACTCGGGGATGCAACAGGGCTGTTAGAAATAGAAATACAGAGCAATCCAAAGACCTGAAGCCAGAAGGTCTTACCCTAAGTGCTCCACCATCCAATGCTCTTGGTTCCAGCTGTTAAACATTACAATGTAGCCATAGAGAAGATGAAGAATGCTACCATGATCAACTACCTTGAACACCAGCCTTGTTTTCTGAAGCTTTGGATCAGAGCCTGCTGCAAAGTTTCAAATTCTTTCACTACTTGCCAGGAAAACACAGTTCAAACATAAAAAGGAGCAGCTGTTGGTGCTGCGCGGAGCCAAGCAGAGTCCTGGCATAGCTGTGTTCTAGACACATCCTTCCCAAGCCAAGCAGTGCTGCGGCCATCCCAGCTACATGCCTGTGCCTCTGCCTCCAAAAACAGCGGCTGATGCAAGCACTAGAGCTTTAAAAGGGAATAAAACTGAGCCACAACAAAGGACTAAGCACACTTGAACTTTGGTTATGGCCCTGTTGTGTAACACATCACAAAAACTGATCTTCATCCCTCACAATGCAGTAACCCCTACAGAACTTTCCTTCCGTGCTGAGGAAAGCCTGTCCAGCAACACACCGCTCTAGACCCTGTATGGGACTAAATCCCGTTACACTCTTCTTAAACTCCTCTCTCATCACCATGGCAAACGTTCACCCTCAGTCATCTCCTGTCTTCCCAAACAGGAGTTCTCCAAAGGAAAATAACTTGTGATAATTAAAGTTATCCCAGCTCAATTTCACTGTTACCCGTGCTAACACAGAGAACCACCATTACAGCTGTATTTCTGTGTTATCACCACTGCTGGCTTCCCAAGCAGATTTAAAGCTAGTGTGGATGAACCTATGTGCTCTGGCATTTCCTGATGGTCTGTTTCTCATAATACAAATGATCAGATCTAACAACACAAAGCGCCTTCCTTTACATTGATCCAAGAACTTTCATCACAGATGTGTTCAGGTATGGCCTAGATTTCCAGAAAGAAAAGAGTGGGTGTTAAAAATAAAGAGTATAAGGTGTAGGTCTGAACAAAAAATGCTGTTGCTAAGAGGAATGAATGGTTTTATTCATCATGGCAACATACAGAGCTTAGGAATATATACAGAGGAGAATCTGGGAGTTAGCCTATCACTTCAAGTCCTCTTCAGATTTCTTGGCGGAAAACCTTTCTCGCAATTTTTTCCATGTTCCTTTTTTCATGTCTTCCATCTGTTTGAGAATGTCTGCAAAAGGAGAAGGGAGAGGGAGATGGGGAAAGAGGAAGAAAAGCAGAAAAGCAAAAGCATAAAAAGCCCTTTTTTTAAGCCCTTTGCCTTACATATATTTGCCTTTTTTCACTTCTCATCTTAATGAATTTCTATTTCAGGACCTGAGGCAAGTTTGTTTTCCCTTCCAATCAATTGTGCAGGGAGTCCCTTATCACTAACAACTAATATTCAGTTTCCACGCACTGCAATCGAAGTTAGGAACTGGAGCAGAACAAAACTGCACTAGCTTCCTATACGGCATTTAATAAATGATTCGGCTGAGAGTACTTCTGCATCGTGGTACCCTGTTTTCTCTCAAAGTCTAATACAAGAGAAGAAATACTGAAGGGAATATGAATGCAGTGAAACAGAAGCTGAGAATTTTCCAGCGATGTAGCAAATGTGCATTTTTTTCACACAGCTCCTGCCTCTCTGTCTCAAAGAGCCTTTGCAAACCCTCTGCTATTCCTGCCCCCTGCAAAACACAATCGACTTTTTGTCCTGCTAGATTACTGAAAATCTCCTCAATTAAGCCTGTACTTACTCCTTGTTAACCACCCTAATAAACTTGCACAGCAGTCCAATTCAGTCCTTTAGTAACTGGTAGAAGTATAAAGCCAACACAATAAAGACTAGAACGCACTTTATCTCTTGCACTGATTTATTCCCAAATCAATCACAGTATTAATACCTGTTGCTAGAATCATCTTGCAATCTTGCACTGTCACTCCAGTGAAGCTTGTTTCTTTCAGGCGTGGATACTTCACAAACAGACAGGTGAGAGAAGGAGAAAGAGAACAAGATGTTACTTGTAGTGCACTAACACAGGTAATTATGTCACCAAATAATAGAATCCTAACTTATTTTCCATCAAGCTCTAAGAATTCTGTTCATCCATACCAGGAACTATAATCTACATTGTTCATACATGTCACAGAGGCTAAAACGTCTGCAGCTCTGAGACTGAAGGCACCCGGCAGTGCAGCATCCACCTGACTGCTCATTTGCCTGCTCCATTCCCAGAAACCCTGCTGGGATGTGGCCTGCTGCACCGACAGCTGCAGGTCCCCCAAAAAAGGTTGATGATGGCTAATACCAAAATGTTTACCTTGTTTTTGTAGTAGTTGGTGTGGATTCTGAGTAAGCTCTCATACATTTGGTCACAGGTCTCAGGGTCAGCAATCTGGAAAAGGATAAAAGTATCGCACAAGTCCTATTTTAAACCTGCAGAGCAAAACCATTTCATTTTAGCTAAAAGCTCATGAAAAGAACAGTAAAGGAGTATCTTTGTTACTTTTTCAGAGCAATGCAGGATGCCGGCGACCCCTATTATGCTGCTCCAGAATGCAGCAAATTTTCTTTCCCCTCCGTCTCTCACCAGCTTGGCCTACAAGAATAATGAGGCACCTAAGTTCCAGAATGAACCTTGAATTCTGCTCAAAAAGATATGACAGATCAACTGAACACACAGCTAACGCGAACATAGCTGTACGGTTTTCTCACACTTACTGGCCAGCGCTGTGAAATCTGTGAGATTTCTTTGATCAAAGGCTGGTTTGGCCGCCTGTTTTATTCTAAAGGATCAAACAGGATAAGATACTAAGATGGAAGATATAAAATCCTGGCAAGGCTAAAAATAGTTTATAATTGATTAGGGAAAAGCAGCGTGTAAGGTACCGTACAGCTTGTGAAGGGTAAATGGATTTCTATTTTGGTCTAGTAAGTTGGAAAGATTTTGCTAATACCTAAAACTCTCTGAGGTGCCTCCAACAGGTGCATCTGCCTTGCAGAGCCAGCTATTTAGCAGCACGAATGGCACGTCAACTTCTTTTTCTATCCTACAGCAGGGCCGACTTGACCAGAACTCTGCATTGCTGCTCGATGACATCAAACATAAATGATTAAAACGGATACATGAGTAAGTATAGTATGAAGAGCAGCAAGACAGAATAAAGTGAAAACAGCTCATCTGTCCTCAGGCACTGGCACAGGTTCAGCACAAGGCAGGTGATGCCTCCCTCCCCTGTGCAAGCCAGGAGAATGAAGGAAAGGCTCTCCTGATACAGCAGGTAATGGCTGCACTGGGAGAGAGGATACAGGGACAAGCAAACTGTTAAAAATAAGCACCATCACACAGCTACCTATTAAATAGGTAGCTGAAATAGTACTGCCTGTAAAAAATCAGCAAATCTTACTCCATGTGAATTAAACGGGCATTACACTGACAAAACGTCTTTTAAGGTTCTAGCGCTTTTTTCATACATTCCTCCTGCTGTCTGCCAGTACATTTCCCTTTACTGTATTAAGTCTTTATACGTACAAATTGACATCAGTGCTGCAGGCATCAATTTAGATTTTCAAGATGAGTGGCAGCTTTGGGATCTCATAACCAATTGGTGCAGCACATTCAGCTGTCCTGGGCATATGAAAAAGCAATAAGCACTTTCTGAAATGTCTGCTGCAGCTTATTCTGGTGACCAATATAGAATTAGGTGCCTATAATGGCACATTGTAGGAGAAAATGCACACCTGGAACAATGTTTTTATGCAAAGAAAGGGCACATTTACATTCCACAGCACCACCTCCAAGCCTGTAAATGACTGCAGCCCAAATCAAGTGTTTGCTTCTTTTATTTCAGTATTGAAACCTGAACTCCAACACAGTTACAGCTGGAAGCCAGCTTTAAAACCACCGCATCCCAGCAGTGATGGATTTTGCAGCATACCCCACCCCGTATCGTGTTATCAGCCCATCCTCACAGCACGCAAACCACCCTGAACTCCACGACGGCCCTGACAAATTTTCTGCATCCCCCTTCCTTGAGCGCTGCAACAGGGGGTTCGAAACCCACTGGAAGGGGGCACCTCACAGCACATATCGCAACCCGTGCGAGATCTCCGCGTACAGTGAAGGTGCCGGGAGGGAAAGAAGGAAGAAAGTCAGAGGTAGGGAGGGATGGGAGCACAGCCCAGCCCACCGCACCCCCTGTCCCTGACCGGACCTCCACAGCTCCAAAATGGCGCCGGGTCCCTGAGGCGAGGCAGCGGCGGCGCACCGCGCATGCGCGCCCTCCCCCCCGTCTCCCTCAGGCTCCAAAATGGCGCCGGCCCCTGAGGAGCAGCAGCGGCGCACTGCGCATGCGCACCCCGCCCCTCAGGCCCTAAGATGGCGCCGGCCCCTGAGGCACAGCGGCGCAGCGCGCATGCGCGGCCCTTTTCCCCCATCCCTTGCCCAGCCCTCAGCGCCCCGCGGGCCGCTTCCTGCCCTCACCTGCGTGTTCTCCCCCTCGCGGAAGGCCTGCGCCACCCGCTGCCGCAGGAAGATGCCCAGGTCCCGCTGCCGCTTCGTCTCCTCCACCGGCCACTCCTCGCACAGCTTCAGGAACCGCCGGTACCTGGTGGCCGCCATGGCGGCCGGGGCAGCGGGCACGTGACGGCGGCCGCAACTACGGCGAGCGAGAGGGGCCGGTGAGGGGGGGGGGGGGGGGTGCGCATGCGCAGTGACAACGCGGGTGGGGGGGGCAAAGGGGGGGGGGCAGGTTGGGGTGGTTCCCCTGTGGTGCCTCAAGATCATCGAGTGCGTTAATCAGGCACCCAGGCGTGTGCTCGGATAATGATTAGGGCTGGAGGAGCCCCCCAGGGTCACCTGCTCCAAGCACCCCCCCACCACTGTCCCCACCGAGCCGTGTCCCCAAGCACCAGCCCCAACCTCTCCTGGAGCCCCCCCAGGGACGGGGACTCCCCCACCTCCCTGGGCAACCCGTCCCAACGCCTGCCCGCTCTGTCTGAGCAGAAATGGCTCCTCATTGCCCACCTCAACCTCCCCTGGCACAACTCCAGGCCGTTCCCTCTGCTCCTGGCCCTGGGTATCTGCGAGCAGAGGCCGACCCCCAGCTCCCCACAGCTTCCTTTCGGGTAGCCAGCTCTGGAGTTTCCCTTCAGCCCCCTCTTTGTCCTTTCCCCATCCAGCCCCGAGGGCCTGGTGGCAGCATCCAGCGAGAGGCTGGGCTGTGCTGCAAGGGCTGAGGGAGGTCTGGATAAAGCCCTTCAGGTGCGTTGTGTCGGCCACATTCAGCACCAACCTCACTGCACAAGAATGAGCCAAGACAACTGATGACTCAATCCTTTCACTGCTGAAACAGAGTGTTTGTGTTTTATTTTTTTTATAGTCATTGCAGTTTGTGGGCAAGAAATATGCAAGACCGTGAACAACATTCAGTAAATAATCGGGTCTTCCCAAATCCACTTCAGGCCAAGTAAAATATGCAATTGGGCCAGATGACTTAAATTTTCCGGCGATAAATTGCTGCAATTTACCAGCTGTATGCAATAAAATACAAGTGAAGGGGTCTCCCTTGAGATCTGATATTTAAACCTGTGGAAATAATGGCTCTTTTGAAAACACACAGCCCTAAACAAAAGATAACATAACGTCAGGATGCTCTGGAAGTGCAAAAAAGACGGACAACAAGTGAGCGTTACTTAGACAACTTTATTTGTATCCCCAGTCCCCAATAACTGGGTTCTGTACCTCTATTCCTTGTGTAAGGACTTTTCATACAAGTTTCCTACACCATGCAGGAAGGAATTATATTTGTTCCATAATAAAATCTGTCAACAAAAGCTGTAAACATTGTATCAAGTTTTTGTTATTGTCTCCTCCAAACACATACACAATATTTGTATCAAAGAATTTCTAGGTGAACTTTAAAGTCTAGTCCCTGATTTTATTATTATTTTTTTTTAATTAGGAGCTTAAGTACCTTGATGTGAATGTTTTTTGTGACTAGTATCTGACAGGATCATCACATTCCCATACGTCAGCCCCCAAGGAGCTTCTTGCCTAGAAAGTTTAGGAAACATGCCCTGTTATGTCCTGCAGGGATATTAAACCTTTGCAAGGTCCAGTTCTTGGTCTGAGGAACACCTGCTTTTACACCTTAAGCAGTACAGAACCAGGAGCTCTGCGTCTGGTACATTTGTGTTTCAACAAAGCACCAAATACCCGCGCTGTATGGAAAATGACTTGCAAGAACAGTCTTGCAGCGCTGGGCACGTGGAGTGTGAATGTCAGGGTGTGCATTTTTCTTCCACTTGTGTCTGTGAGTGTGTTCGGCCCGTAGCACTGAGCGTGAGATGAGAGTAATGCTGCAATCTGTTAAGACCTGCCAGCTCATTTTAATAGTCTCACTCAAATGCACAACATCTTCTTAGCCTGCTTGGCTTTGTGAGTGTGGTGGAGGTGAGCAGGTCCTATTTTATCATTAAGACTCTTTCAAGTAATGCTTTCTTTTGACTCGCAAATAAATCAAGGACAGCAGTAAAACAAGAAAGGAAAATAAATCTTCTGATTGATTGCAGACAGAACAGATTCTTTCAGCTCTTTGCTTTTTACGCTTCAGTTCAGTAATGGCACGTAGCAGTTTTTCCTAGCAAGCTGTCCATGCTCTCATTCCAAACCGTGCACGTGACATTCAGCAGCTGTGAGGGTCCCATACAACTGACCCAATGCAATACTTCTCAGGGATATCGGTCACTAGTAAATTCAGGCTATTTCACAGAATTCGTCATTTTCCTTCCAAGATGTTCTGAAGAATTTTGATGAGGTTCTCCAAGCCAAAAATATAGCCATGGTCTGGCCCGTCATAAGTGGTGTGGTTGCATTTGGAGCCTTTAAAAGTGGTGTGGGCAAAGTCTATCATGCGGACGTCCACTCTGGCGTGATTGGTGCCATGTGTTGTGGTGCAGTTTGTTTTTTGGAAGTGCCCCTGGAGGTGATTATCCAAGGGTGCTGTGTTCTCTTTGTGCTCCAGTCCATCATAAATGATGAGAAGTGAGCTGGAGTAGAACCTGTAAGAGCTTTGCTTCTTGATGACAGACAGCAGAGCTTTTAGCTGCAGGATGATGGGCTCCAGGACGTCTGTTCTGAGGTGGTTACCATTGCACAGGAACTGGCGCAAGGCTTGCCTGAATCCTTCAGGTGAGAGTTTCCTCCCGTAATATTTATCCTTGCAGAGAAAATGGCCAGTGTCCACTTGGTAGACCTTGAGGAAAGAGAGCAACAATCCAGATTCAGTGGATGTCTTATTGTCGCGTGTGTGTGTGTGTGTGTGTGTGTGTGTGTGTGTCCCCACCAGTGTTCTGGCTTTTGCCCTTATCTAAAAATTTCAGTCCCAAGCTGAGAGTCAGATCCTCTGCAGTTGAACAATACTGGCAGTGTACTGCAGGCTTCTCACTGAATCCCACCTCCTGCCTTTTCTGGAGATTTAAACTCTTCAATTTAAGCCACTGGTGCAGATTCTTCTTGTGCTTCTATAAATTACGCCTTTGTAAATCCTGTATAGCTCTAAGTCATAGCCACATCATTACTGATTTATAGCATTTTCCCTCTGGCTATGTCAGGAGTTTGCAGTAGTACAGGAACACCCCAGCTTTGTTCCTTCTCTTAGTACAGGTAGCAATAATCTTGTTTTCTTAAACAGAGGGACAAGGTACAGACAGAAATCTTTATGTATGTGAGGCAGTGGTAATACAGAATAAGAACTGGAAGCGTGAATTCAGAATTAGCTCACATACCAGCTGTAACTTAAAGGCTAATCTGCTCAGCAGAAGGATGTCAGAGACCAGAAAGAGACATAGTTTTTGACACTGTTTACACTGCAGTGTATGTGCTTTATAATCATCATTGTCATAATTATCCTTCAGGCAGAGCAGAACAACATTTTGAAACCTGCTGGAGAACTGTGAGTGAATCAAATGTGTAGCTTCCATTTCTAGCAGGGAGGGCAGTGATTTTAATCAAGAGGAACCATAATATTTAGCACAAAAGCAACCCCTCGCTCTTGCAGCAATCAGACGAGACAGCTCAGCAAAGGCATGAGTGGATGGAGCAAGTGATGCTTTCTGTTTTTTTTTTGTTTGTTTGTTTTGTTTTGTTTTGTTTTGTGCAGCAGCCAGGAGCTGAGCACAAGAGGAGAATCTGTGCTCATGTACAGGCAGATTCTCAGCTTGAAGGTAATAAAAATCTCCAGAAGTCAAACAGGTATGGGAAAAAGGTTCCCCTCTGCGTGCCATATTCTGTACTCTTCCCTAAGCATCTGCCCTGTCTGAGGATAGGATGCACAAATTGAGTGGCTTGCTCTTACAGCCTCTATTTGGTGGGAGACAAGAAGGAATTTACTTCAGTTTACACCAAGGGAAAGAATCCCTTTGGATTTCCAGCTTGGTTTCAAGCTGCATGTCAGGCAGGCATCAGAAGGACCGGGGTCTTACCTGCATCCCACAGATGCGAACACCCAGAGAGGCAGAGGTGCTCTGTTCACACTTCTTGATGTGACGCGCTTTCTTCTCCTCTGAGGCGTCATCTCCGTGCTGCCGGGTGCCCATCTTTAAGTCCAGGATGCAGGGGTAGCTGTATTTTGATACCACATTCTCAAGCAATAGAAATTCTGGGCATGAGTTAAGGGAAACCCAATACTTTTAAATTCTAATTGAAAGAGGTCTTAAATCAGAGCAACTGCTGACGCTTTCCATAATAGCTCACAACTGTAATGAGTCTTTCTGAGCCAATTTTACCAACATGTCATTGCTATGGGCCCCTTGCTGCCAATTGCAGTTAATTTACTGTAGTACAGTCCTACCAATTAAAGCACCAACAGCTCCATTCTCTAGTGACACCGTAGCCCTGGGCTGTCAATCCAACACCTTGCCTCAGTGCTGTCCTCACCCCAGTGGGTGTGGGGGAAGTTGTTAAACTGTATTACTCACATGACTGGTGGGTAATGGAGTGTAATAGGAAAATAAAAGGCGAGGCGGCTGCTAATTCCTTTATAGTTGTGTTTTTAAATGTATGCCAAGGGGATCTTTGACTTAAGCTTGAATACACCCTTATGGGAAATATTTTTTTTCTTTTTTTCTTTTCTTTTTTTTTTTTTTTTTTTTTTTAGATAGTGAGAGAAGAGAGCAGCTATATTCTTTTGTTTTTTGTTTGTTTGTTTGTTTGTTTTTGCACAGCAGCTGGACAGAGAAGGGATGCATACCACTGCAATAAAACATACATTGCTCATGAGCTGATATTTGTAGCAAAGGCTGCGATGGAGGAGAGAGAAGAGAAAGGATACGGTGAAGTTTGTTCTCATTATACTTGGAGGACATGCGGTTCAGGTGCTGCCTGTGACAGTGCAGTCCCCAGGGGTTGTAGCTCTTTCTTTCTGGCTGGTTTCCGTTTGCATCTTCCAAAAGTGGATCTGTGTGGTACTGAAGGTCTGTCCTCAATAGCATCTTCCCTGGGCAGCTAGTCAAAGCACACAAAAGAACACGCTCGGTTTATAAGCTCCAGAAGAGAATATTCCCTCCCCTCCTCTTTTGTAGAGCCTCAAACTTGATAAGGGAAATTTTCAGGGACTCTCAAAGGAAACATATTCATCATGTCCAAACTGCAGAGATCTTTTGTTACTCTGTAAAAGTAATTTTCAGAAAGCCAGCTATTGCTGGATGCCAATATTTTCTTTCATTATAATTTCAAAGTGTGCTTGGCTTCTGTGAAAAGCACCATTCATGGTGTCAATGACCAGGAATCTCTATCTACCTAACAGGCACAACACAGGCAAATTGTCCAACAATAGGAATGATTCTCAGTTTCCACAGGCTGGCTTCGAGGAGGGAAGTGAGGGAGCAAAAAGGATATTTGTTCTCCTTGTACGGACATTTGCTGGCCCCAAAGCCCTAACTCCATTCACACCGAGGGCAGCGGTTTCACGGTAGCAATATTACACCCTTCAGTCATAGCTGACCGAGGTCTTTTCTGAAGCAATTTGACATGAAAGATGTCTTGTGGAAAGCCTCTGCAGGTCCTGAGGTCGGGGCGTGCTTGCGAGCACCGTGATGCCTTTCAGAGACAGCTCTCCCTGGGGATGAGGACAGGATTGAACCAACCTCGAGTGTGGCTACCGACCTGGCTGGCTACCAGAGAGGGGCACTACGTGCTCGGTGTGCTTGGTGGCTCTTCTCATGGGGCCTCTCCTCCTTTTAGAGCTGGCTGCACTTGGAGGAAACAGGCTTAAAGCAGAGTATGAGGCATGAAATCGAGCACCTCAGCCATAGCCAAATCTGCCCTGCTCCCTCTGTGGGTGAACAGTGAAGCCAGCAGGCTGGACCTTGCTTTTGTTCTCTAAGCCTGGACCTTGCCTTAAACCAGGAGCTTTGCCACCAAAACCATCCCGGTTAAACCCCACCGAGACCGGGACACATCCAGCTGCCAAACAGCAGGCCAGGGCCCGGAGAAATCTGCAGGGAGCCTCCTGCCTGTGACAAACCCTCACCTGTCTTTGAAGGTCTTGGTGATCTGCGTGTGACACCTCTTGACGAGCGTGTGCTCGCTGCCGGTGCCGGTGCTGGCAGCCCACTTGCACTTGTGCCATATCGTCACCGCCGAGTCGCCGATGGCGTGGTCCAGCCGGCCGCAGCTCTCCGCCTGCAGGCCGGGGCTGGCGAGCAGGGTCAGGTTGCCGAGGCTGTCCTTTTTGAGGTGCACAGAAATGACACCTGCAGGAAAGGAGGAAAAGCAAAGCAGAGTGAGGTTAACCCCTGGGTTAACCTACAGGCTCAGCACCAGCGGCACAGCTGCCCCCTCGTGTTTTAGTGGTCCCTCACACTGATCCCGGCCTGGTTTGAGGCCCATTAAACACCATTAGCCTGAGACCCTTGGAAAACAGCCACAGGCTTTTCTAGCGTTCCTTCCCCTCCTTCTGTGGGCTCTGCTTGAAAGCTGTCTCCTCTGAACACCATGTTCCCTCCTTCTCCATTCCTCCAGGCTCTGTTACGCAGCAAGTGACCCAGCAAAGACCCCTGCGTTGGCCCAGGAGCTCCTGCCTTATTTATGACGAGGGATTAAGGTCTCACTTCTGAGCGCAGGGCAAGGTGGAAATGCTCTTCATTGGTAGAAAGCAAAGGGAGGGTTGGGGAACGGGAATTTTCCAAAGATGACCAGCGTGCCAACTGCTTCTTTTAACTGGAGAGCCCCCAGGAACAAGGGCAGAGGCACACATAGGGGCTGGCAACACTGCCTGCGTACGTGATGGCCACACATTGTCGTGGACGTGTCCTTCCCCCAGCACCAGGACCCTGGTGGCAGGATGACGGGAGGGACTGGACCCTCACGTGCTCCTGAGGAGGAATGCAGACATGAGCACCGATTATTTCTTTCCGCTCTAAGTGCTTAAAACACCATCGTATGTTTTCGGATTGTAATTTTCCCTGACTCTAATGGGAAGCACAGGGCTCAAATGCCATTCAGCCCATCACACGTATTTAGCCCAGTCTCTGCCCATCCCTGGCATTGGGACTGCTGCCTCCGCGTGTCAAATAACAGAGCAGGAATGGCCGTGGCTGGCGTTCCAGACGGCTCTGACCTTTCTGGGAAAGGCTGATAACAGCAGTCCTTCTCTCAGGGCAGCGCTGCTCCTGCAGCCCTCTGTCAGGGCTGTCCGAGCCTCTCGAGGCAGCGCAGGCATTTTTAGAGCATCGCCCTTTCGGTCTCAGAGGGGATGCCAGCCGCGTGAATCATCAGCGGCAGCACCCCGCTGCTTTCAAGTCTGGCAGCAGCAAGGCAGATCCAAAAGAGGACGGTCTGGGCTGTTGGACCAACAAAACTCATCGCTGGAAAGAGCCCCCGTTAGCAACACACGGGGCTGGGGCTGTGCCAGCCGTCTCCCGGGTGTCCTCGCTTGGTCTGCTCCTCGTTGCGGGGAGATGCATTTCTGCAGCTTACCAACGAGGCAGCTCGCTTCTCCCAAACAAATTTGCCAAATAAATATGCAAACTGCCTCCTCTCCGTTTAAAGTGAGATTACGGAGAGTAAACACAGACGCAGGGGTTTGCCCTCCCTGCCTGTGCTTTGGGTTTTGCCAACCCAGGGAAGATTTGCAGGTCTGCAGCCACCAGCCACCTCCGTGCGACTTGGGGTGGTCCTGAGCCTCACATCCCTGCGGGTCCCACTGTGCCCTCGTGTCCCCTGTATGGCCCCCGTTTAGGTACTTTGCCCCAGGTGCAGCCCACAACCGCTTCTGTTCCCTTTTGCCATAAAAAATCAGCATTAATCCTAACTGTGTGCCACAGCAGGCTGGGCTAAATCCGCTAACTTTGTGTTGAAATGAGTGAGGAACATACGCAGGCTGCTCTGCCCAGGGGAGACAGGGGCTGGAAACCCCTGTGGGGTTCTTTCTGTGGGGCTAGAAACCTTAATTAGGGGGTGAGTGATATTTTTAGCTATCTCAATCCTTTGCTCATGGTGCTCATGAGCAGTAGGAGCTTGGGAGCTACATCTTCCTCAGGCTCCAACATCACCCGCATGATCTCTAGCAGTGTCCCGTTTGTAAAATCCATATTACAGATTACCAAGAGCAAGTGAAATTCCTGTCAGCTCAGATGTTTGCTTTGAATTTTCAGGGCAGGTGGACATGAAAAAAGCCAACTTTTTTTTTTTTTTTGCTGGAATCAAAACCCTTTTATCTTTAAGAAGACAGTGAGGGGGGAACGGAGTCCTCGATTCTAAAAATCTAATTCTCAAATCTAGCACTACGCCTCAGTTCTGGCACTACAGCAGCCTGTAACCTTAAAAACTGTCCCAATTACATATCTGCAAGTCAATGGAGCTGTGCTGATTTACATAGTGCTGACAATCTGGCCCTAAAAATGTTATATATAGCATGAAACTAAGAGTTCTTAAATATCTTACATTAATATGAAAATTAATGGGGAGATTTTCAAAGGCAAGAACAAGCAGTTAAACTGCAAGGGAACGTGATCATCTCACCTCCTTCCCCCTGAACACCGCTTCATAAACCTGCATCCCAGCCTTACAATTACTTTTGTTTCCCGATGTATTTCCTTATGGGATGGCTGGTTTTTGCATATGTCCTGCAAGTGACCTCTGTGTGCAAAACAAATACAATGCTGCCAACCATCTCCTTTATTGCTACGAGAAAACATCTGTCTGGGAGCAAAGATGGGCTTGGGAGCAAAGACGTACTCAGGTGCTTGCCTTTGTTTGCTTTTCAGTGCCACCACCAATGCAATCCCACTCACTGGGAGCCCAGCAGCGGGTATTTCTGGTGCCATCACCATGCTGGTGGCACCCCAGGGACCCTCAGGAGCTCCAACCTTGTATCCAAACCCCCCTGCAAGCTCTGTATGGGGCGGGAGGAAGTTTGGAAGGGGCTGGTGTGGGAAAGCCAGCCTCAAGGTCACCGACCTGCCCCAAAGGGTTAAGTGAGCAGTGGATGTTTTTGAAGCAGCCAACTGGGTGTAGGATTTGAATGATGACATTTGAGCAGCGCTGCACATAATGTCATCATTACATAATGATCCCTGAGCCCCCCCCCCCCACCTAAGAATAGAGATGAGGAGCGTGGACACGTGTGAGCGGGTGATGAAGACCTCAGGATTATTCCCCCTGGTGCTGATCTGCCTCGTGGGAAAACGTCCCACCTCTTTAATTTACCCAGCTTTCAGGGCTGGGACGGTTACAAGCAGGAAAAAAAATGAGTCTGCCCAATGCCAAATTGGAGGAGAATTGCTATTTAATTACCCCTCATTGCAAAACTCACTGGGACTTGCAATAGAAAAGAAAAAGATGACAAAAAGGGATTAATAACCGGGCCACCCCTGAACTGATAAGCTGGGACTGCTTAATGTCTTTATTAGAGAGACAGAGCAGGGCTCAGCTCTCCAGCACTAAACCCTGGCTCCTGCTAAAGGAAATTGCTTAGAGGAGGACTTGTTTTCTTTCTTAAGCATCTTTTTAATATTGTCCCATAAATCTACAGAGGCTCCTGACTTTCTGGAGAAGGGGGAAATTGGATTGGAAGTGCATCAAGACCTCAGCTGACACTTTGAGCTCCTTTCCGTAACGCTGAAGGACCAAAAGATATTTTAAGTTTTTAGGTGACAGCTGAGCTTCTCGCCTCTCACAAAAATCCAGGGTCAGGAGCTTTACGAGCAGCACAAGTCTGGCAGTAAAGGCAAAAATAGTGAGGGAATAAGGAAGGGAGGGAGGAAAGATATCTTTAAAAAAATAATAAAATAAAATGAAAACATTGCTAGGACCCTCACGGACACCCAGTGCTGGGTTTCTATAGCTAAAGCTGAGAGAGCGGGGTTTGATTTTTAGAAGCTAAGAGGTTCTTGCCTCTGGTTTTCTAGGGATCTGTGCTCACAGAGCACTGTAGCAGGGCTTGGCTCAGGTGGAGCAGCCGTCCAAACAGATGTTTAATACAGCCCTGTGCTGTTTTTTTCCAGGCTTGGTATTTCATGCTGGCCCCAAGGACCACCTCTCCCCCAGCTCATGCTGGTGCCAGCCCTGACCCTTTCCTTACCCTCACCAATTCTCTGCCTCTGGCCCAAAACTTCACCTCCTCAAAACCAAGGGGTGTGGGGCAAAGGCAAAACGCCCTGAACCCTGCTCCTGGCACAAAACCCTTTCTTCTCACTCTATTTCAGAGCAGCATCTCAGCTCCCAGGGTTATTGTATGGGGCCAGCTGTTGTGTGATCCCAAGGGCACGGGCAGCTCCCGCAGCATCACGATAGCAAAAGGTCAGGGCAGCACCGAGCAGGAGCGGGCCAGCTTCTTAATTGGGGTTAATGAAATGTTAACTGCATGGAAAAAGCAGTCTATTTGAGGGCTAGCACCCACAAGGAATGAAAGGTAGCCTGGGCAGGCGGGCCGCTTCGACTTGTCTTGCAGGTCAAAGCCACTTCAGAAATACGTGGTGCTTCTGCCTGGCCACAGCTCCTCTTCATCTGGGCAGCACAGCAGCACGGGGTGGTTTGGAGATCCCCAGCTGCTAAATAACCCGGCAGTGTTCATACAGTGTGTGTGACTTGTCAGATCCTGGTTTGGAGAAGTCTCTCCTACCACCGTTCACACGGTGTCACACCAACCCATCTGGGGCCACGGCCAGCAAAGTCCTCAAAGCCAGGCTGGGAAAAGCCAGCCTCGCAGACCTGCTTCTGTGCACACATCCTAACTGAGCAAAACCCGATCTGCACAAACAAAGGGGCTTCCCATCCCCAACCGAGCCATCCCTCCCATGCTGCCACCCCTCCAGCCTTGAACCCACGCTCAGGGCTCAGTCCTGGTGGCACCCCCATCACCCATTTCCCACGCGCGGGGTCGCACCTTTGTACTGGGGCGTGAACTGCCGCATGGCCAGGGGCAGCGACTCGTAGAAGCTCAGCTCCTGCGAGACCAGGGGCTTGCAGACCGTGTGCTCGTCGTACTTCATCATGCTCATGTGGCCGCCCACCTGGTGGACGAAAGGCTCCAGGAGGACCACCTTCCTGCCCTCGCTCTGCCCCACCATGCTGCTGCTCGGCGCAGGGCTCGCTCCCGGTCAGTGGCAGCGGAGGGGTGACGGGTTTTGGGACATGCTGCGCCGGGCTCTCACCCCGTGTGGCTTCTCAGTGTGGCGCTGACTGTGCCTGCAAACAGAGGATGAAAGGGACAGCATGAGAAGGGGGGGACGAGCCACCACGAAGCCTCCGCCTGCAGTGGCATCGGCAGGGCTGGGAGCGCTGCCTGGCCTCGCACAGCCCCGGGTACTGGCCGGGAGCCCCGGTGTGACACGTGGAGTCCAGGAAAGACCCGATTTAGACCTGTTGCGGGTAAAAGATGCAGAGGGGGACGAAGGAGAGGAGCTATCAAATTAATGCGGTGGCCTCATCGAACCAGCTGGATCAGGGCATTCCTTGGACCAGGAATGCCGGGTTATTAATACGCTGTATAATACCACCCCTGCTGTGAAACAATCTCAGTTTGCCTTATGAGACAGTGTTAATGCTGGTCTTAGTCTTTCCCCAGGCTAGGACATTGCTCGCGAATGAGGTTTATTAATAAAGCCTCTGTGAGCTGCTGTCCTTGGGCAGCTCCCTGCCTCTCAGCACTGCCGGTGGGGTTAGCGACATTTTCTACACCTTCTAGAGAAACGTGAGGCTGGGACATTCCCTGCCACGTAACACCTGAGGGCCACCGGGAGCATTTCCTGTGCTGTGCTCATACACACAATGCGAGGATGTGTCAAAGCAGCACCCGCACGGCTCCCACCCAAGCTGCAGCTCCCTCGGCCCCTCCACGCTGCCAGGATTTGCTTCCCAGTTCCAGCCCCAGACAGAAATCCATCCATGGCTGAGGCAGGAACGAGTTGCTGGTGTAAATAAGGTAGGAGAAGCACCAACACATCCCAGCAGCAGCACCCTGGCTTCTCCTGCAAGCGCCCAGCAAACCCTCTCCCTTCTTCACTTTAATTCTTTGCAAGGATGCTCCTGCTCTGGTGGACATCGGGCAGGGGAATCCTGCAGCCATTGAGGAAGATAAAAAGGAAGATGAAATATTTACACTGAGGAAGCATCAGGCTCCATGCCACCAAGGCAGTAAAATCAGAGGAAGATACTCCAGACCCCAAACTACAAGTGATGGAAAAAAATAACATATATTGTTGTTCTTTTGAGGGCCAGTTCGTATTCCTACAGCCCTCCAAAAGCAGCGTGCAAAGCCCTGGCTGGCCTGCCCCTGCTAACGTGGGTGACTTTCTCCTTATCTCTCCAGCCTGGGACCTCTGGCATCCCAGTTCTGCTAGAAGAAGCTCAGTGCAGTAGAGGATAACATCTTTGGAAGGTCCATTTCCCCACACCAAAGCTTGCACAGCTGGGTGGGCGCGACACCACCTCTGCCACCCCGCGGCCGGTGCCGTCACCCTCTCCATAGCCAAGGGACACGAGGGTGGCACACGGAGCCACTGCTCTCAGATGCTGGTGGCCAAGGGGGGGCGGCATAAACCTGCAGGTGCCCCATGGCAGGGCACCCGCTCCCTCTGGGTCTCTTCCCTCCTGCACCTGCCAGCTCCAAGCTCCGAGTTGCAGCGCGTTCCTCGCCCCGTCACAAAGAGCCGAAGCTCCGACGCTTGCATTTCTCCTTCTCCCTCCTCCTGCTGTAATTAAACCCCTGAGCAAGCAGGCTCTCCACGCAGGTGCCCGCTTTGTTTTTCGCCTGGAGGAGTGAGATGAAGTGGGTTGGAGGCACAGGAGGAGAAGAAACCCTCCTACCTGCAAAGCTCGCTCCTTCAGCATCCCCCAAGGTGGTTTGTTTTATTTTTTTTTCCTCCCTCTTCTCTATTCTTTCGTCACTGCACACTTCAGAAAGGAATTTCTACTCTACAATTACCAGCCTGCACCAGCTTGAGCGAACAAAGCCAGGCCACTTAGATGAGTGCTTTTCAGCCCAGGAAGAAAGCAGCTCTTCAGAGCCTTTCTAGAAGTTAATAAAAGCATTTAGCATTTTGTTAAGTTGCAACAACTTTTAAAGAGGATTTCTCCCTTGAAAGCTGTAGGTTTGCTGTTGTGTTTCTCTCTCTTTTTTTTTTTTTTT